CAGCTAATGTGAACCGGTGGTGGCTTTGATGTTGCTGCGCGGAGTGGGTGGAGTGTTAGTCAAAACACGCCGAAACTAGAGATTATCTATGTTGGTCTCGATGTTGACTATGCACACATAATAAGCGTTACCGCACGTAGCTGAAACGTCGAGGTTTTCACCACTCTTCTCCTAAACCCGTTTTGCCTTGGCCGGAATTCCTCCAGTCGTCATGTCCGTTCCTTTAGTGCGTCCCCACTACTTACTGGCATGTGTTCAACCTGTGGTTGGTTCTTTTCTCACCCTTGAAAACACCATGCTGGTCGTCGAAGGTATCCAGTGCCATAGGTTGTGCAATCACCATACAACTTTAGGACATCACTGCAGAACAGAGGCCACTGATTCTGTTAGAGATTCACTCTATTTCCGAAAAGTCTGTTTTTTCTGGACCAGTTAATCTCATCAGTTACAGAGCAACGACCAGAACTTGTCTTTTGTCATACTTAGTCTCTCCAGAGGAGATATTTCTATCAACCTGAAGGTGAATGTGAGGCCTGTGATATTTTCGATCGTATATGTGAATGTTCTTCATCCTCATGTCATTTTTTATCTTTGTGCTATTTCTTAAGTGGTACTTTCGGTAAACACGAGACAGCCGTGAAAAGAATTGTTCGTCAACCGCATTTGGAGAAACACTGGCGACGTGAGCATGCAATTCTACTACATCATCATCACCCGAATTTGGTCCGATGTTTTTGGACGGTGAGCGTCGGGTGTTCTCTATCTTTTTCACTTTTCCTTCTTATTCTTAGCCAGACCAGCGGTCGCTTTTCAGCGGTAAACTATGTCTCGGATGTAAGGTAGTCGTTCGGAGTGGTACCTTGATGCTGTTGAATGCCCAGTTATTGAGACTCGTAGTTCGTTGTATACACCCTATATAGAGCTTAAGACGGCGTCATCTGTCCTGTTTTTTTAACCGTGTAGTGCTCAGTAAATTACATCACCAGTGGCGCATCTCATTTGTTGTCGTCCAACAGTACTGTATGACATCGCGACCAGTTCCATCATACCAGCTACATATGGATTATTCCGTTCTAATTGCAGTGACCGACTCTACCTATATAAGCATCCTAACTAGGGTCACCGCATGATATAACGGTTCTGTTTTGGCATCACGTCACGCGATATCACTTAACCCTTCCGCATACCACTGGAATTGTCAGAAATGACTGGGATAGTATCATGACAGGATGAAACTCTCAGCCTCCTAAACCATCTTGACAACCACGCTAGTATCGACGGAAAGAGTTGAGGACACCCTGATTTGAAATGATTTCAAAACTGACGTCTTGCATCAACAGTGGTTGGGTCGAACTTCTGGATTCGACCACGGAGCTGTTTACGGGTCTACCATTTTATTGACTCATGAAGACACTCATGATGAGAGGTCTTTACTGGGATATTATTTTTCAGGTAAAGCAAGCGACTTTGGAAAATCGCAATCTTGTCAACGAATTTCGATCATTTTGGCTGCCTTGTTAAGCGATCAGTAGATCAGTTCCGATGAATCGACATTAAATCCTGTGTGGCCAAACATCCATGTCTTTGGAAATCAATAGTTTCTTCTGAAGTTTGTTTGCGAGCTCGGTGACAATGAAACGGTGTGCAGGGTCCATACCGTCGATGATTCTGCCGGTACCGAACACTGTTCTTTTTTTCATTTGAGTCCCCGATTTGTGGCAGCTGCAAAACATACACTTAATGGTTTCTCGACCTATTGATCCTCCATGTGCATTTGCTATACTGAACTTAGGTAATTCCTGAGCGCGTTAATGCGTGTGAAGGCGTGCTACGCAATTGCATGATGATTTCAGTTGATATTTGTCTTTTGTTTGTTCTCTACTTTGAAGAGGGCTTGTCGCATGATACCAGATAAGATGCCTGTTCAAAGTAGGATCGATGAATCCCTCGTTGTTGCGGTACACTTGGATGTTGTACTGCCCGTTGACACTCTTCTGTTTAAGGTCACCTTGTAGCAATATGCCAAACCGATGCACTGTTAGTTATCGTTGGGTGCCACGGCCACACTGTTTGGCATAAAACAAAGGCCGCTTAATTAGTTGTAAGCACACAGAATTGCATTGCATATTCGAACGAGATATGTATCCAGTTGGAGTCATGGGTCTTGCCGTAGCTCTTCATTGAATGCCTTCCTGTTGATGCGTACTCTTAAGTTGCCTTAAAATGTAAAAAATTGCGTCTGTTTTGGAATTCATTTTCTCGTTCCAGCCAACGCTTAGCCTCCGTACAAAACCATAGTAAAAGGTTGAAATCTGAATGATAAAGAAGTTTCCCCACTGAGAACGATTAAGAACACACCTGCACATCACTTTAGAGTTAAACACCGTCAGCAGGATTAAGCCAGAGTACAACGACGAAAAAATTTCATTTTGGCATCATGTTGGAAACTGGGATAGTTTACGTGCCATGTTCTAACCGCTTGTAAGAAGAAACACGTGAATCTGAGTCAGTTAGGCAGGAGAATCCTACAGCACATATTTTGGAGATGACCAGTTCATTTTGGCATGCAGAGTAGTCCATCTATCGGTTCGGAACACAGAGCACAGAAAGTTCTACTCGGTAGTCGATGGTTTAATGTACATATTACGTGTACCAAACTTCATTTACGACTCTAGCTTTTCTGACTTATCACCAACCGCCATCCGTCATATTGCGTGTGAATGCCTTTCAAGTAGATATTCACTTTGGCAATAGTACTTCCATTCAGGAAGACAGTTTATGACGTGCGCATTTTCTCCCCATCGCTACCATGCCACCCGAGAACCGAAGAGAAAAAGCCTTCTGGTTCTGAAACTGACTGTTTTACCTTCGAAATTGAACGTCTCAGTTGAAACGACTTGTCGTTGACCCAAGTTTTTCTGTGGGCTATCGTTTTAAATTGTTTACATCCTAGGCGCGGCTGATACACCATCCAGTCTCATCAGTATTGTGTTGGCCGGGCACAGGTACACAAGCACATCTCCATTCTTCGGGAAATTCCATAGTTACAGTATCGCTTGCATGTGATAAGGTTGAAGTTTACGACGAAACAACGCACGAAGACTCAACAATTAGCAAGTTACTTATAGTACCATACATATCAAACCAACCGGCTGTTCTTATTCGAGTTTGCCTAGATGTTCTCAGTGGCCTAGGTAATTGGAGTTGGTGAGCATTTTACAGGTTCACCACACTGTGCAGGTAGCTGTCAATCAGATTGCTGAACACCTGGTACATTCATGTCACAGACGGGGACACTTGCATCCCATTCCTCATGAAAGCTGAACAAAACAGACTAAATTCCATTACCTGAGACGTGCGAAAGTCCTCTCATTGGTTTCCTCTTCTCAAAGAAGCAATTTTTTCCCAGCAGACAAATTGATTTTTCCTTGAGGCGTGATTGCATTAGGCAGAGTGGACATTTCCATTCTGGAATCGTGTGACATGTTAAATCGGAATCAGCACATGTGTCTTCAAAATCTGGATGCGTTTTGGATGCATAGTCAACTGTACACATATGCTGTTGAAAAGGGTACACAGGTTGCATAACAACCTAGGTTGGGTTGATGACCGCAATTTACAGGTGAACATTTGGCTCGGCCAGGTTGCAGTAACCCTCCGCTAAATTAAAATATTTGACCTTATACTGCTTCAGATCATATTGCGCACTTGCTGTCAACTTTCACCTACATGCTTCTTTGGTGTGAGGCGTTCTTTATCTTCTGTTCAACTGTATGAACTCGGATATCCGGAAGTTCTGGTTAGCATAACTGATCTAAGGCTTTGAACGCTGACAGTAAGTTGAAATCCGCTCAAGTTTCATGAAACGAGGAGAAAAAATGGAGGAATATAAAAACTCAACCTCCGAGATCAAAGCTATTTAGTTATGAAACCAACGTCTATCGACTCAGCGTAGCTAAAGGGGTAGTGAAGCTATCTAATTTCCTGAGCACACATGGCGCCGTTGTCTACTGTGACTTTCATGTCTGTAAAGGTGGATTGCCAAATTTTTGTTCGCTTCATGTAAACTCATCTTGCAGTTGTATGGAAAGAGGCATTTTAACCGCCCGATAAGGAACTGTGCAATGATCCGCTGGATCTACCTTCAACAAGCACTAAAAAGCTTAAGTTAAAAGTACAGGCTGTCTGATGCAACAAGCTGCAGTAAAGCTCTCGGTGGATAAGTCACGTAGTACACACAGCCGTGCAGCCACCTACATCATCGCACGTAAATTCAACTTGTATCTCAACGATTGACGGTCTAAGGGCATACGCAATCACCCAAGTCAAAGATGAACTCCGTAGTTTTGATCGCAGTCCTCTGAGACAGCTGTATAGGATTCCAATTCCTGGTCACGAGGAATCACTGCGTCGTTCAATTGATTAATTCAGTCGATTGCGTCTTGACAAGTAACCTTTAACCACAAGCTGTTTTTTGTTCTTCGGTTTCCGTTCATGGTTGGATAGTATCTACAATACTGCCTTACCGGGATTTGTTTTATTTGGGAAAAAGCTACCTGAGAAATTGCTTGTATGGAGATGCGGGGTCTTCTCATATAGAGGAATTACTCCCTGCAACATTGTCGACAGCAAACGACCTTCGACCCTACTCTGTCTTCCTGATGACTTTCGTGTTACGAGTGTATTCGGCTAAATCAAAAACTCTTGTACACACCCTGTACCGGATTCTCAGAAGATGTGCTCATTATTTTCGTAATGCTGTCTGGTTCTGGGTTATCAAGTCACCAAGTATATTGCTTCACCCATCTCTCGATTCACTTTTCCTCTCTGACACACTTCTGTTTTTTGCTTCAGGGAAGCACGGCTAACTTTCACTATTTGGTTATGCAACGTTGCGCGGCCAGTCTTACTGACCTGTTACGAGATGAGTCAGGTGATGGCTTTGCTAAATGGGGACTGGTTCCCACACAAGTCGTCCATCAAATTATCCTTGGTGTGGCGTCGCTGCATCAAAATGGGATCGGTAAGTAACCGTTCGATAGCGCGAAAGTACATCGTTCCCTTTGTCATGGCTCCCAACACATCTCGGCTTTGCGTCATGTGAACAGATTATGAAGACGTAGAGTGATCAACTGTTCCGTCCTCTTCAGCTGGTCTACTGACTTTAAATCGAACACTTATCTACTAGAAAAACTTTGTGGCCGTTTTGAGCCCCAGTCCACGCCAAATGCTGTTTTGATCGGTTGTGACATGTATAATCCGCGGCTACCATCCTCTGACTCTGATAAAAGGCCATATGTGCAATATTGGAAAAAATTCATTCTATTATCATGCAGATGTTAGTATGAGTGGTTACTTAAACCTTTTGGATGTGGGGTTCGTTCGCCCCAACTGAAGCACAATGTATTCTACATAGTTTTGAGAAATCTTAGCAACATGAGAAAATAGGCGTTGACACAGCCCTAGTGGCACCTCGCGGTTTTCTCGGGACAAACTGTGACCGCAGGCATTCACTTATAATACTGATTGAGCAGTATCGTAAACTGAAAACTAACCCAATGTTTCTATCCGTTTTTACTTAAAGATCACTCGGGAATCTAAGATTCACGAATTAACCAAAAAGGGGACCGTTTCACTCCAAGGTGGTTAGACTGTATACTAGGGCTTTGCAAATTAATCTAAAAGCTGGGCAATTCGCTTTATTAATAAAGGCTTTTCTCCTCTCAAGTAGACCTACGTGGTGTGGCGAGACGAGCAACGTAATGAGCAACAATTCCTTCGCTCTAGTTTGGTAGTTGTTACCTACCCACTCAACTTCTGAGGCCGATATCCCTCCTACCACAGAACTATTATGCTGATTCACATGGAATGGACGCTTTTAAGAAGTCTACACTTTTTCTAGCAGTCAGTCACGAACGTTTCATTTTATTCCCAGTACACCGCGATCTGAAACCAAGCAACATATTGATCACTACCTGTGGTAACGATGTCTGCGTTGTTGTTGGTGACTTTGGGCTTTCTCGACCGTTGAATATCAATCGTCATGAACTGACTAATTCGTTTGGATTAAATTTACTGATCGGAGAACAAACCCTGGTGAGGCATGGAAGTACTGTCACGTATGCCAACGGTCACGTACGTCACCGCATATTAGACGATCTGGCAACTTCAGATCAAACAAGTGTCGGTGTAGCCTATGGTACGCTTGGTTGGATGGCACCAGAATTATGTGACCCAGACTCTGGCCTCCTGGTGAGTACTTGTTCTTTGATTCACAGAATCGCTCTCCAGCTGGCCACGGTTTAATATAAATCTCTACTGACTTCTTGTAGACCTATGCGGTGGATATTTTCTCTTGTGGACTGTTAGCTTACCACATATTAACCTACGGAGGCCACGCATTCGACAACTCTGGTGGAACTCTTGCGGAACGACCTTCTACCGGCTCCAAAGGAAATAATTCTACCAGTTCTAGTGGTAATTTGGCGCAGTCTTTGACGACCTCATTGTCTCCTAATGGTCCCGAGGGGTGCGATGGATTGTCGTACCAAACTGCAGCTCGTTTGAATCGTCATCATGCTAGACAGTTAGCTATTGCGGAAAATCGTCCGCCAACTCTGGATCGTCTCACGGAAGACTGTTCAAATATCTCAACAGGTAAACCGTCTTTATGACATTTCAAAGTGTCATTGTCGGATTTTTTCCCTTGTCTTTTCTCCCTTTTAGTAGACCTGCTCTCAACTTGTTACTACTAGCGAATGTCCCATCAGTCACAACCTGTGATCCATCCCACCTCACTCAATATGCAGTTGGCTAAAAGGAATCTAGATTCGTCTGTATTTTGTGTAATAACCTCACCCACCTGAATGGAAGGCCATCCATGTTACATACCAGTTTTTTCTTGCGTCACCCTCTGATTTACTCAGTTGCACTGACAAAGCATTTCCCCTGTTTGCTTCTATAGCGAAGCGTGCTTTTGGTGTTTGTGAGTGTCGTATACTGTCTCAATGGATACATTCGTCGATAAGCTGTCAGTTTCACATCATCGGAACCAAATATAAGCGGTGACGGGTTAGTGAATCACTTGACAACCCTAAATTTAATCACGACCGGACACCATGTATTTTCAATCTCCTCTACTCTCCTAACGAAAAACTGGGAGACGGGACACGGGAGAGGGGACTGAAGTGTGCCACCCTGATTCCAAGGTGTTGGGCTTTAAACTATCACACCAGCTACAGGTGTGCTTGGAACATTTTCTAGCTGGAAGGCTTGTTTACGCTAGTGGGATACGGTCCCAGGCTAGGGATAGACATTAACGGACAACCGTGGGGGTCAGTTTCAGAGCATTCACTATTCCTAACCCACGTAGTGATGTAAAATTAAGAAACAGGAAACTCCTTGCTTTATTTGCGGACGGTTTGAAACTAGTAGACAGATCATAACACAGAGCTACCCAGCACATTCTCAATGAACTGTATGCTTAGGCTGTTGTTTGGTGGCCTCCCGCTGAATGAGACGACCATGACGTTATTAGGACCGGAGGAGGGGCTCCATAGCGCTTCGTGGATGAGCTTAATAACCGCATATCTATCTTAAAGGCATCCGATGTCGGAGACCTATGGATTCAACTCACAGCTGTCTTCTTGCGCTTCACTGTGTTAGCAGGTTTCTAAGACGTCTAACTGCACACTGAGCTGAGACGTTCAATTACCCCACGAATGTCCCAGGTTCTCGTGTACCTTAACCAGGCCCTTGTTGAGCATGGATTCCGAACCTGAAAAATGACATCTAATTGTTAGGACAGTCACCGTGACCTTCCGTACAAGGAGAGATTCAAAGAACTGGGTCTGTTCTCCTTGTGGAGGAAAAGGTTGAGGTGTTAGCCATACTGGAAAATAAATGCATTGGAATGAGGCTGAAAAAAGGTAGAGATGATGCAACTAAACACAGCAGCTTTCTTGCGTATAGAATGGTCAGTAGCTAAAGCAAGCTGCCAGAAGTGCATGCTTAGACATTCAAACGTCGCGTGGACTCCGTTCGTAGGACCATGCTTCTGGATCTCCTTTGATGTCCCTGACTAACTCCTGTAAGGTACGTGCTCCACGATAACATTTCCTCTATAACATTCTTTTTTCTGTCGTGTTGTTGCAAATATTAATCCTTGGAAGTTCTGCTTGAGATCAGGCTGGCAGCGTCAAGCTTTCATTCTGCATCGGGGAGTCCATGCGACCCTCAGTTTCTTTCATTTTGGTTGTTTCATCTTGACTCTAAGCATGGTTCTGGCCATATTGGCCCGGAGAGGTTTGTATCATTGTGTCCTTTTATCCGTCTCGTAAGAGCTGATGGAGATGTTTGCGAACGTAAAATGTATGGCCTGTATGCAGTGAAGTCACCACCTCAGTAGCAGCCGAGTGGTTACACCTGCCACAGTTTCGTTCACCGTTGATGTGAGGAGGTGAGTTAGATAGCTGCGCATCGGAGGTGTTAGCTGGTATTAATTGACTCATAAATACGGAATTGTTTATGGACTTTTCATTGGTGAGATTGGCAGGGGAGCTATTCATTGAAGGCAAAACTTCGGATGCACGAACGCCACTGAGTGCGCGACTTGGCCATGTCTGACAACGTCTCAAACCATCGATGTATCCCGTCTTGGGGTCCCCACCCAGGGCAACGGCAATCACCAGCGCGGCTGAGTTTACTGGTGATGGCTTTCAGATTTCGTTACTAAGTCAGTGTCGTCAGCCAAGGCTGTTCTCTTTCGTGTTTTCTCTTCATCCCCGTAATAGACACGATTGTCGAAGATTCACGACCAGCCTGTAATACCTTGTTATATCTGACTACTGTCCCCGCTACGGTGCCCAGTGCCGGAAAAAAGACTTGCCGACAAGAAACAACAGCTTTATTGCAAGCGAGTGGTCTCAAACCATCGATGTATCCCGTCTTGGGGTCCCCACCCAGGGCAACGGCAATCACCAGCGCGGCTGAGTTTACTGGTGATGGCTTTCAGATTTCGTTACTAAGTCAGTGTCGTCAGCCAAGGCTGTTCTCTTTCGTGTTTTCTCTTCATCCCCGTAATAGACACGATTGTCGAAGATTCACGACCAGCCTGTAATACCTTGTTATATCTGACTACTGTCCCCGCTACGGTGCCCAGTGCCGGAAAAAAGACTTGCCGACAAGAAACAACAGCTTTATTGCGAACAAGCGAGTGGGTGCAAAAGTACAACGGCCTCGCGCTATATCTTCAGAAGGCACTGCATGACCTTGAGCCAAGGCTGTCTGACTGGCGTTTAGTGGGTTATGAGGGTCTTGGCAGGTTTCAGGTATTCTGGGATAATTTCCATCATCACCCGTGGTGTAGGCGTGACATCAGCGTATCCGTCAATGCAGAATAGAAACAGTGTTGAACTGACACATCGGTTGGTTTTATAGCTTACCCGATCTATGCCGGCAATAACTTAACGTCCGTTAGGCACGGGCCACCAAGTTGTGCAACACAAATCGCAATATTTCATCGACCATTGACGTTATTTTGATCAAATCACACTACCCGCGACTACGTCCAAAAAAAGTAGATGATTTGGTTGACCCGGCGCTGGTGGGGTGACATATAGGATTCAACTACCGTGTTTAGCTTCGATCGGGTGTATTGGTTACCCGGGGTTTGTCAAATATTTTGATGCTAAGGATTCACCGTAGCCATTCTGATTACGCACATGCGTTTCGATGTTCATCAGTTTTCGTTGAAATAGCAGAAGTCACTTATTCATCTGCCTTAGCGGCAATATTCTGTTCTCCGAAATGCTTCAGGTTTTCTCAGTCGACATCTGATTCAAATGATGTTATCGCATGATCCTGAAAGAAGACCTACCGCCGGAGAGGTTGTCGCTCATCCGTTGTTTTGGTCCTCGGCGAAGATCATGCACTTCATTTCTGTAAGTGATTCATCAGATCCTTTACTAAAGCGCACTCCTCTGATGTGCTATGGGACCTTCCGAAAACTGAATCCCTCAAATGACGAATAAGGTGCTCTTTTATTGCACTGCACTAAAGCGATATTTTTGTTCCCCATCAACAGCAGTGGTGTCAAAGTTGACGCTTTATGTAAGTTTGGTGTGTGGACACATGAACAGGTTTCGCGCCAGAGCTTGTTGATCAAATGCTTGATGCGGAGGCTGTTCGCCCCGAATAAACGGATGCCGTGTCATTTAGGTGGATTTATGGATTTTGAACGACAACGCGCATTCTGATTGTCCAGAGTACTGGGCAGTCAGACTCGAGTTTTTTCAGCGCTTCACTTCTCCCCCATCATGGCGATTCTAGCGTGCCCCATGGATTATTACCTGATTGTCCCGTAAATACAGTTGTGGTAGTCTCCGTTGAAGGCTGTCTCAAGCTAGTATCTTTTGACAAAATACGGCGTGCAGTAACAAGCTAAGGAGCTACTTATGCGAAATCCCAACACCATATCTTTCATAAAGCTGTTGTCTACTGCCAGTGATGCTGGAAACTTTTAGTTTGTGGTCAGGGCCGCGATTTCGGAGTATCGCAGACCACCCTAACTAGGAAAATATAGACCACAAAGAATGTATCTTTTTGCGTGAACCTGCAGTTGCTTGCAGATCGACCGACTGGCTCGTGTACATTTCTGTTAGATCGCGCATGGATTATAAGGGTTTGTTTGAATAGTTGGATTGGACCGACACACAGTTCATGGTCACTTTAGTGGCGAATCAGCGCTAATATTTCTGGCTTTGCTAAACGATACAGCAATAGCTTAGTGTTTTTCGCTTGTTTGGAGAATTATTTTTGTCGAAAAGAGTGAGGTGGGATATCACTCAGCCATTTATCTTGTTTCAGGATCAGACGAATCTCTGACATTTGTCCCCGCTTCAGTTGTGACTTCCAACCCGTTTGATAATCGATGCAAGCTGACCAGCTCACTCAAGTTTTACTTGCTGTATTCCGAATTGAAAGGGTCCGTTGTATAACGGTAGGAATTTTTTGTCTAGTTGTCAGGTAATGTGGCAGGTAGAAGGGCGAACGAACTGTTTGTAGGATAACTGAGCTAGTTCTGTTTGGATCTGTTCTACTGCTAGGACGATCAACCTTCTAATGTTTTTTCATTGAACTTGCGACATATCTACGTGAAATAACTTCTGTGAATCAACTAGGCTATCTTATTTATACGTGTTTTCGGTTTTCAGGGTTTACAGTCCCTTTCAGTTTGGTGCTTGAGTGTTGACTGATAATACGCAGTAATCTCGAAATATTTGAATATATGATGTACGTATTCCTAATGAGGACAGCCATTCGCATCCCACGATGACACCTTCCTGTTTTATGCTAGGAGCTTTCTGATATTTTGGATACAAGAGAAGACTTACTGCGAGAGGCCAGAGGAAATGGATCTGGAAATAACCTCGTGGATACCAATCCGGTGTGTGCCATGTTAGTGCCAGATGTCGACCACTTTTTGCCGCAACGTATCAGTCTTCTCGATGACATTGAATACTCATCTCCCTGGGTTTTCAACGAGCACTGGTTCTACCGATTGGAGTCAGAAGTTGTGTATGACTTACTCACTACACGTGGCTACCAGGTATGCTTATTTCGTAAACTTTGCTTGACGGTTGCGTTTTGCTATGTATTAGGATGGGGACGGGATCGTACCGTTTTCGATGTACACGTGCTCCTGTTTCTGGTTCAGACACCTAGGTAGTATTTTTCACTCATCTCGTATGCTGTCTAATTTAGTTTCGTTTAGCAAAGCTCTCCGTCGCATTGATACCTCTACTTACATTGAAATTTCTTAGTACAGATTGCCGTTTTCCGCCGAATGAAACGACGTCCTCGTTGCATCGCCACTCGATCTAATGGCACCCCCACCCTTTGTCATCTGTGAGCTAGCGTTGTACACCGTCACGTCCTCCATGTTCCTTATCCGTCACCCGTATTGGCTTCATTAGGTCACAAAGATTGCAAGATTGAATACGGGGTTTCATGACGAAAGGTGTGTTGTGAAATTAACAGTAACTTGCGCTGATTGGTGGTTCTGTTATGTTTCATTTGCCACCACTACGAAGCTCCCGTTGTGATTGTAATTCGGCAGCGTACTACTTGCTGTCTATGGTGTGGACTTGTGAGAATGATCGCGACAAGATGTGAGAAGGACCGTTCAAACGAATGCGAGTGCGCGTTGATGGTGTCGAAGGGCGAGATAGTATCTTAAAATGCGTCACGTGTAGTCAGACGAAAAACACCCCAAGTTAGCCATATTGATTGTTACATTACTGCTGCTGTGAAACTTTCTGTGACTTTGTAGTAGGTACGCATTACTTCTCATAGTTCACCGATTGGTTGAATCGATGGATTTATTTGTGATTAGGTGGTCCATCCACATTTACTCATCTGGTAATACGTGTTGAGACCGAAGTAATAAAGCAAGAGGTTATCTCTAGTGAAACAGTTTGTTGTACTCAAAGTGCCTCCTGCGAACTATTGTAGCGAGACCTTTAGTTATTCTGCGTATGTGAAATTCATCAGAAGTTTTGATACGGGGTCGTGTTGACGCGCATCCTCGTTATTGTGCCTCTCCAGTACCGCCACATCTTTCGGTAGACGAACGGTGACGAGGGTAGACCAAACTTCCTGTAGCAGTTAAGAGGGTTATGGGTGGAGTCATCGTCGTATTCCATAGGATATATTCTTATCGAACCTATTCAAGACATAGCTTGGCCATCTAATTTCATCCTGAAAAGTGCCTTGTTCTGACTGCTGTTTGCCCTTTCAAGGATCTCGACTTCGGGTAATTTTTTATCTCTATTCCGAAAGTGGTCTTGTGATGAGCGAATAGAAATGACTTGATGTGAAATTGACGTATCTTAAACAGTGATCTACGTCAGAGCGTTGCAGGCCACTTGTTATGCGCATCCACAGAAGTGTATTTAGCAGTCGAACAGACAGCAACATTCACTATTTGATAGCGATCGTAATTGTGTTAAGCGAGGTAGTTAGCCAAATGTGGGACAGGATTGATGCGATATGTAGGAAAACCTGCAGAAACCGTCCTAAGTCTCCATCTTGTAATAGAAATGTCAGAATGTAACCAGTGAGTGACCTTCTTCAAATAAGGCTTTAACCGAATCAGCTCTGAGTTGTTTGTTAATTGATGAGGCAGAAAGAAACGATGGATACGCCAAAAACAAAGATGCGAGGGAAAAAACAAATGCGTCTTTTTTCATTCGAGACAGATTAAGAATGTTCTGACCGAGAAAGCTTATGGAGCAATGAGACGGAATTGTGAATAGTCTGGTGATCGATTGTAACGTTTTAAAGGGCATTGCGATTAGTTAGATAACGGCTACCAGGTAAAAAGCTAGACCTGACATCCAAACCTTGGACTCGAGAACAGCACTATGTACATTGCCAGGTTAAAAAAATTACCAGGAAGATGAAGCGAAGAAAACGTGAAGAGGTACTGACATGGAAGAGGGAAAATCCCCAGAGAAACTACTTACAATGATCGATTGTAACGTTTTAAAGGGCATTGCGATTAGTTAGATAACGGCTACCAGGTAAAAAGCTAGACCTGACATCCAAACCTTGGACTCGAGAACAGCACTATGTACATTGCCAGGTTAAAAAAATTACCAGGAAGATGAAGCGAAGAAAACGTGAAGAGGTACTGACATGGAAGAGGGAAAATCCCCAGAGAAAACTACTTACAAGGTTGCTGAAAACTGTTCGACAGTTTATGACCAGTTTTACTCTTCCGAGTCTCCATCTTCTTTATATCCTACCTGAATCCGAATTGCACGAATTCCGACAAATACTCATTTGTACCCAAGAATGGCGAAACCTGTCCTGGGATTTCGAAGAGTTTTCAGCAACCTTGTATGTAGTGGCCTTTATACAGTATATCATAATGAGAGCTTCAGCTGCGTTTTATCCCATTCTTCCGTGAAATATCAACTTGTTATGTAAATGAGCGTGCTTGTCGAAGGAAAAACTCTGTTTGGTTTCTCAACACCACACCTGCTTTATCGTGTGACACAACTCACAGCAACCGCTGTTGCTGAAGTGGTTTCAGTGTTCAGTGTGTTTTTATAAAGCGTTGTGCGACGGGAACCAACCCCTGTTTCAATGAGAACAATTACAAATTAGTATAGCAATAACTTCAAATGAACAGAACAGACGTTGAGACAATCCGTTATTCGCTCACAGAAAAGAAATTTTAATCGAGACAACTCAACATTAATTTCATATCGACCATCTAATGAAAAACTCAGAAATGTCTCAATATAGAAAAGGCATAGCCGGAATAACAACCTGATAGGTCGTGCGTGATTGCTTTGTTTGATTAACTTTATGCTAGGTTTCCGACCGTAAACAACTTGGATACTCACAACTGGAGCCTCATCCAGATTCTTCAATTTTGTATGTGTGATCATTCGGTGGGTCTTCCTCGGGTCAGTAATGTGTACCTGTTTGCTAGAAGCACGTATGACTAATTCCTCTACAGTCACATGATGAGCCTCAATGATAATTTAAGGTGACTGACTTCTTCGCAAACCGACATAAGCCCTTGGTGGAGGAAGCTTGTCGCGTTATCCTTATACAGAGTGCGTTCGATTGGATCTTGCTGCAAATTACCACAATGTTTTTTATTCTCTTTATTCAGGACACTTCTCTCATGGACTTGCTCCGTGCCATTCGCAACAAACGCAACCATATCTGGCACCTTCGAGAACATATTCGCGATCTTTTAGGCCGCACGCAAGATGGGATGGCTCGGTACTGGACCTCGCGGTTTCCTTCACTGCTTCCATTGTTGTATAGCCTCAGTCGCTGTCACCTAACCGGATGTAGCGCATTGAGCGAATACTTGCCTCCCCCCGGCGTGGGTCGTATTCCTGAACTTTCTGACGGTGCGTCTAGTTCATTCCTTTGTTAGCTGGGTTCCTTGATTCGGTCGTATCATTGTCGTTGAGGCTCGAGAACGAAACTTATGTAGTCTGAAGGATGAAATATAAATTCTAAAAGAAAGGTCAGCGGTCACTGCAGTGATATGCTAAACATCATTTGTTTCTATCCAGTACGAATTTTCACCACAACCGTTCAGACTGTGTGACTTAGTTGCCACCACCTACAAACCAACGCTGAATTTTCTTAAGCAATGTGGTAATCAGCTATCTGTGAGGAGCTCCGATACAAGATTCTTGTTCATTTGCAGTACACCAATGGCTTCGATCGCAGCATCGTACGGTCAGGCGTATCTAATCGCTTCTCCTCTGGGACATGCCGAATGCTCCAATGCCATTCAGGTTATCTTCTGTAAAGCATCTCTGTAGCTCAACAGTATCGAACTGAGTTGGCTCAGATGCATCCACAACTGAACTGACACAATTTGATTTGAATGGTAATTGGAGAAAGGTGAAAGAAACCATGCTCATAGATGTTGGAATTGGCTGCCCAAGGTTGCTTGCACAATCAAATGAACACTGGATCTCGTAACGACCCAGCAAGAAACTATTATGGTAGCGCGCGCGGACCCTTTAAACGCCGAATATTGAGCCTAATGTTTGACAAGGAGTATTAGTGGATTTCAAAGTGAAGAAAGCTTCTGCAACGGGAAACAGTCGCATCCTGTTCTGGAAAATGCGGTCAACTGGTCCGAGGGCGGGTACTAGTGAAACGATATCTCAAAAGAACAGGACTTCGAATCATCCATAGAAAAGTCGTCTTGAACAGTAGACTGGACAATAGCTGGACCTCACCGACTCAACCTCTAAAAAGACCAAATCCGAGTGAAACGTGGATACCACTTCTCCAACGACAGCGAAGTCCAGTGGCTTCAGCACAACAAAGCACCTGGTCCAGATTATGAGTCCCTTGGGACTATCCTGACGACTTTACCCCAAAGTATCAGGAGTGAGGAACGAATACCGACAGAACGGAGCACCTCGACGGCTATTCCCAGTTTCAAAAAGTGTCAAGGTATCGTACGAAGACCATTAAGACATCGTAGCTTCCAAAGTGCTCCGTGATATTAGTCTGCGCAGGTTGGTCCACCACTTGAAGAGTCACATCCACGAGAATCCAGTTGGCCGGATTCGCCCTATAGAGAACCAACCAGCCTTGTATCGCATCGAGGCGATCTAGGGGCGGTCAGTCCTTGACGTTGCAACGAAGCCTGAACTTCTTTACTGGTCAGCTCACTTGTGTTCTTAACCGCCATCTCCAAAGAATGCGAAAAAGAATGGTTGCCTTACACACCATTTATTTGTTAGGATCAGTGTGTCAAGGTTATTGGTAGCTGCTGCCTTGGAATAGTCAAGTTGGACACATCATTCTCAGGTGTACATTCAGCATGCCTATTTACAGCTCACTGTATACTTTCATGCGATCCCGTACCATCTCTCAGTGCAGCCTTAACAAGCATTACATAGAATTTGAGACTTGAGGCATTTATCCCAGTCTCATGCGCAAATATCAAAAAGTCAAATACATCCATCCACTAAGCTACCGCATTCGATCCCATTGTGTATCATCGAATGGAAATGGAGGCCTATGGCAGGAGTCATTACCGGAGTGTAATTTACGTCGAAAAAAGAAATAATAGTGTTTGTGATGAAATCAACTAAGTAGTGTGAGTAATACTTAGTTCAGTAGATGAGCACCGTGGCTTTGTACGTTATTGCTGATACAATGAAAACTCAGAGGCGTTAACGAACACTAAGTACGCTGACGATATCACTTTCAATTCTTTCGCCTCACAAATGCAATCCATATGGAATCTTCTAGAGAGAGGCGCACATCCTTACGGAATTTTTTTGGCCTTCAAGCTACAAAGTCGTCCTACCTCGACCCTGCACATGGTAATTTATCATGTGCCGGACGTTGTCGACAAATACACCTACTTGGGGATGTCGTCTTCTTGCTTTTGCGCTGTGGAGTAGGTAGGCCGTGGGTTTTGCGAGGCACCCCAAGCTTTCCCCTTACCGCACCGATTTGAACACCGAAGAACATCATTTGAACACCATTTGTGGATCACAAACATCACATTGTTTGATACGCACAACGTCCTGCCTATATATATATNCATTTCACTTTGCCTCCCAGCTTTAAAAGATCAGCCTCCGGAAGTCGGACATTTTCACCCCTACAGCCGATTTGATTTTATCGCATAATCGAACGAAGTATCTGTAGATTGCAACCAGACCCCGAATTTTTCGTATCAAGTGATATCTTATTCCCCACTGATCCCTATTAACTCATCTTCATGTCTTGTTTTGATTCTTTATACCCATTCTGTTTACTTGAATTTGCAGTACTCTGTGATTGGTGGCGAACGCCTCCATGTGGAAAGAACCCAGAGAAGACGGACAGCAACATCGAACTACTGTCAACGGTAGACGAAGATGGCCTGGCGAAGCAAACATTCAACCCCGAACAGTTGGTTCGGCGCCGTCAAGTGAGCCTTTTCTTTGATCTCTAATTTCGTTGGATTTTGTATGTTGGGTTGTTGTAGTAACTCAGTGTCCAGGGTTCATCTTAGCCAAATAGTCAACTCTGGCTGCGGATACAAATAGCTCATGTGGGTCTGACCATAACTGTGAGAGCATTATGATGTCATGGTTTGCTGTCTTGCCAGAGGTCAAATTATCAGGCGAATTCCAATAATCATCGCTCGCTGTAGTAGTCAGAAGACAGTCACCCCCATCAATCAACTGAGGATTATCCAGGGCCATTTCTTTAACGCAACGTTTCTTGCATTTTCTTATATTGAATCAGCTGTAGTTCCAAAAATGAATTTTTTGGTTGAGCAACATTTCTCTCGAAACGAACTTTTCTCACATTGTTTTTTTCTTCCCAGCTATGTGATCGATAATACTGCTTGTTCGCCGAGTATTTCAGCTTTCCTATCCTAATTTGGTAATATGCACATACTTCTGTCTTTCTCTTCTAGGGTTTGATCCAAGCAATTGTACACCTCAGCAAAGAATCAGCTGATTGACCTATGAGTTCGTAACCTAATTTGAGCAACAGACCAGTTCACATCGTCTTGAAGTGAACAAAACTCTCCCTAAACTCACTCTGTTGAATGATGTGAAGGGAATGACATCACTGTGATACCTATCTGGACTGGGATCAGGTATGGGCGGATTTATGGGTTGTGGGTAGTAAACAGTAAACTGAGGTAAGATCGGCCTCAAGAGTTGGTTGAAAGAAACCGGTTGCGCACACATTCAAGCTATGGGTTTAATTCGCTTTCCCTAGCCTATAGGTGCAAGTATGTCGTAGTCAGTTGTGATCGAAAAAACTATGTCCGATCTATTCAATGTCCAATCTATAGTATAGCTTCAAAATAGCCAAGTTTAATCGCTCCTGTTTGATGATCGTATGAAGGATGGACACCATTTCACAACAACAACGGGATAATGTATCTATGGCGATATACTAATCCGTAGTCGGTATAGAAGGACAACAAATAGTTCAGCGACCTATCGAAATGAGGTACGTTATTTAGTTTCATCTACTGTTTTTGAAGACAAAATGTGACCTGTCCCTTAGGTCTCTCATTCTTTACTGTCAACAATATGACCTACTGAGGAAAAAACACAAAGTCAGAAGCCAATGTGTATGCACGATAATCGGCGAACCCATTACTAAGCCCGAAACAATTCTAGACACCGAATGTCAACACAAGAAACTGATGTAGTTGGATATAAATGGCAGACAACTTTCGTTGTTTGCTGGAAAAGGGAAACGTCGGTCTTTTCCGCGGAAAAATTTCTCTCTGAAGATCATTAATGATAGTCTCTCAGTTCGATTATTCTTGAAGAGTCGTTGGCAAAATCGAACGAGTTAGGTCCACCGTATTTAACTGCCTTTGGGAAATGCATGCCTGAATAAACACTACTTATAAGGTTGGTGAAAACTCTCCGACAAATAGTCCGGGATTCCAGTCAATACTAGCACTGTGTTCAGTTAGCATGAGCAAAGAAACGCCTTTGTAGTGTACTGTCCACTCAAATTCCGGGTGCCGCAGCAGCCTTTTTGATAGTGAAACTTCAGACACTGAATGATGTCAGTATAAAATAGACGCAGTCTTGTTTTACTTATGCCATACAAAAGCATCCTCGCATTTTATTCTTCAATACTTCCACCGCAATGTCATGCACACGGAGGGACCAAGACAATTAACAAATTAGTTACAATCTCATTGGTACCTTTCATTTTGTGCGTTAAAATATCCCCTTTCCCAATCAGAGACATCAAGCTTCCACGACCAGTCAATTCTGAAATCGTATTACACCAGGTGTACCCCCTAGTCAACTGCATCAGTGAAGAGCGCAATCTTTTCGTTCCGTTAGGAAACCGGTAACTATGCTTACGCCAACTTCTAATAACGGAGTTTGCTTGAAAAATGGGACAGTGAACATACTCTTGGCTTAACACCATCCTATGGGATGTTGTACACGCCAGTGTCGCTGAATCCTCTTACGATTGCACTTTAAATCTGTTGAGAGGATCCTGCTGAATGGAATGAAGGCTGCGATTAGTGCCAACCACGTTCGACTGTGTCCGTCGAACGTTCCTAAACTTCAGTGTTGTCAGTAATGCCGTTCCAGTACGTTTGGCCTGACAGGAACGGAAACGGCTCGTACTTATCCACGTCCCCTAAATCGGTTTCTTCACTGGTTCTAGAACTTCGCCCAAAACGGGTATACCTTAGTTCTCATTTACGAAACCGCTGTGCCGCAGGAAATTCCGAGGTTTTTTCCCCTATAACGAAAACGCTAAGAGTGATCGAGTTAAGAAATACAGGACGAACAACAGGCTCTATGACCGTCAAACTTAGTGAGGGAAACCTGGGTTCACAAAGCAATCAGCATGTGGTTGCTTTTTCCAACCATATCAAGTAAAGCAATTTGAAGAAAATTTGCCACCAGTAGTAAAACTGCAGTCCTCCCAAGGAGAACGAGACTGTAGCTGGTCTCGCGGGAAGCTCTGTGGTTTTCAACAGATTGATAGGAAACCTGGAACTGCAGACTACTGTTTCCTAGAGAGATACTTGGAGTTCCCAAATGTGGAATGGTCTTGGAGGTTTTGTTGTCAAAGCATCGTCGGAAATAAACTAACAGACACGACATCAACCTGGCGCTATTCAAACGACCGGGCCTCTACATGCAAGCGTTTATACTTCATAATCACCTGAGACATTCGAACCCTTGTTTCTACATCCCCTATGATAATTGAAGCTGTCTGCAGTGCGTGCTATCTGTTGCCCAGTTACCGACTCATTCGAGATGGCGAACGTTGCACTGTCGACTGGAGGTTTCACACCTTTGGCATGATTCGTCACATTGAATTAACAGAGTGCCTCAGTACGACTAGTGGCAGTCGATGTTTTCGCGGCTGAAGATTTAGCGGCCATATTTCAACCTTGTTAACAACTTTCGTTGCTTAAGTCCGCGCAACTAAGTCAATCAACCAGTGATAGAGGGCCTCATAAAATGATTTTCGTCGGTATAGCACAAAGCTACTACAACTTCCTTTCTCTGCAAAGGCCACCGTAAAATGAGACTACCTGTGATTAGTCTCTTACGGGTTATTCGAATGGTTATGTCCCTCACAGAGAGATCACCTTTGGTGGGCCCCTGTAGCCGATCTTGAGTGAGAACAAATTCACTATACTTTATACTCCTAACAAGACCAAGTGGAAGTGATCTCTCTCAGGGGTACAATTGTAGACTTTTCCTTTATCGAGAGATAGGTTTCAAAGGACTGACTGAAAGCGATCTCTTCCACGAGTTAATCTCTTTTGGAAATGCTTACCACATTTCGTAAGCTAAAGTCCTTCCACTTACATTCAGTCTCCTCACTGATGGAGTGAAAATTTTACGTCGATAAGGTTGCTCCATAATGCGCAAAAGTGACCACCTAAAATTAATGTGTTGACTTAGCCGCGACGCTGGACAAAACGCCTACGGTGGAAGGAAAATATTTAGAAAACCATACATATCTGAACGCGAATGGAAATCCCTGGTGGAATTCCGTTAGTGTTTGTGAAATGATGGCTTCCTAACGGAGGCCTCCCAACTCTGGCCATGGTGGCGCCATTCGTGGACAAAATAAGCTGTCCTTGTGGAGGGTTGTCATGTTGCAATTGCTATAAAGAGAGGGTAATAATGTCAAGGCGCTAGGTTCCGTATGTGCTTGTATTGCCGTCCAAATGTAATACGTACAATAAGGGGCGTCTTCCAGAAGGGAGGCCGCTCCCGAATCAGACCACCTGGACCATTTCTTATCACTGGTCTTCGTTTTGGGGGAATATTCCAACATAAATACACCGTTTATTTCATTTCTTTCTAGCTGACTGGTCGACCGTGGAGACGGGGCGAGGTGCTGCTTCCCAGCACTCCTGAACAGCCCAATGCTCAGCAAACGACGTACTCCCCACCGGACGTCCCTGAGAAAGAACTGGAGTCCTCTGCGACTTTGATGGATGAAAAAAGCATTTCTGATGTGTCAGGTGCCTTTACAATTGTTTGCACTTCTCGCCCACGCAAACGTCCCAACCATCCGAAAAAGGTGCGTCCATCCAAGAAAAAAGCCGATCGAACACATCAGCTAACCACGGCTGGGTGTGAACTACCATTGCATGCAGCATCATAGCACGTTTACTCATGAGGCTTCGCATTCAGGCGGTTTGTAGGTGTGCGCTAACACATTTGTATTCATCCCGTGCAGAACCACACTCCACGACATATACACCTTATAACCCGTGTTCTCACGTTGGCTGTGTTCATTTTTACATTATCGATTTCGGTGTTCATTTTGAGTACCTCCTTCTCTTTGTTTATGTGCAATCGAAAAATGTTCATCGTCGTAGATAATTGCCTTCATATGATCGAGTTGTGATTACTAGGTATCTGTTGATCCGTGGGAACAGGCGGTTTGGACTTTTGATACATGTGCATTACCAAGTGAACTGAACTAAACAGCAGATTCTGACATAGGAATCTCGGTGAGTTGAAACTTCAAACTTCTTCGTAAAAGTGGCTATTGTGAAGCAAGGAAAAAGCAGTCACCCAGTTTCTCAGATCACAAACCGTGCACTGAAGCGCAGTGTTTACAGATGCTACAGATTTGACGACGTGGGTGCCACGCAATAAAGTAGCCAGTTCATCGGCGTCAAATGTTTTTGTCAGTATGGCAAGGCTATGCAGTGAAGGTGACAGCTTTGATGCAGTATCGCCGCTGGCTGCGTGACAACCGAATCTGTCAGGGCCACTATAACCATAGGTTTGTCTGGTCCCGCAGAGATGGCAACTATCGAAAAACGTAATTGAGGTAACTGGTGAAGAACCATGCTTCGTTGGCTGGCCCGACTGCCTCTGCGTCGTCTCCATCCGACGCAATGCTGATCGAAGAGGGCTCTACGAGATAGAAGGTATTTTGAAGTACACAGGGCAACCCGTAGAATGTCTGGCTAGAACCATCCAATGTACCTCGGAATTAATGATATGATTTCCACGCACAATCCAGTTAGGTCTCTGGAAGAGTCCAATGGCACCAGTTAGCGGCCACTAAAGAGCGAATACAGACCTGTTCTCAGGGCCTGGAAAGTTAGAGATCGAAATGATTGATCTGGAGGACGTACAACTCCAAATTGCCATTACGTCAGGATTACCAAATACTCGATTAGTGAAAGGTGGAACATCTGACCTTGTCCTATGCGGCTCGATGTGCAAGATTGAAGTGAAGTCTCGCATGTGTTTCGGAGATACAACATAAATCGACAGATTGAGGAAGCAAGGTTTCAGCAACCTTATGAGTAGTGTATTACGTTTGATAAGAGATTATTTTGGTCAATTTTTCCGGGCGACGGTTTAGACAGCGAACTATGGCTAGGAGAGTGGTAGACAGGTTGATCGCGTTGCGCCATTCGATGGATGGGTATGTGTGAGGTAAAACCGATGAGCGAAGAGCTGCAAAAGCGAATTATACACCCCGGTTACCCAAGCGGAAGAAGAGGGTTTGGTTCAGGCACTTCACCTTGAGCCTACGACTCAAATGTCTGAACCGAAATGTAGAAGTTCCTAGGGTTTGCTTGAAGGACCCTTCCCGGAGCCAACGACTTGAAAGTTTGACCCACTTGGCTGCATGGTCGCAGGGAGTAGGGTATTATTGTATCTCAGTCCTAATTCAACTGTGTCCAATAGGTGCCTTTTAAGCAGCATCAGTCTCTGGTTTCAAAAATATCTCGACCGCATTGAATAATGTGCCGGCGGTCACGGTCAATCGTTAAGCGATCGCCAGACCGACCTTTTCTAACCCATCCTTCCTCGGGGGGGAGGCAGCACTGCTGCTTCCATAAATATGGACATGCTGGTCGCCTGGGGGAAACGCCTTACTGCTTTCACACTCCCATCGCAGAGGACAGTACGACTTTAACTCCAGACCGCCTCCTAATACGATTACTCGCGGTACGGTGACTCCCTGTTCTTCAGGTTGCTCCCCGTTGGCCTTCCTGATATGGATGAACCCTTAGGAACTGGGTTCGAGTCAGCACAGCCACAGGATCATTGCAGCACAAAAGCCCAACCACCACGTGACAGGTTTAGGTCAGGGGAGACGCAAACCAGAAATTACTGCGTAACCTGTGAGAATAGATCACCCCACAGTGCTTGGATAGCCTATGTACATCTTCCGGCGAACATTGCATATTGAAGAGAGTCCCACCAACCAATAGAAACTAGCGACATCACAAGAAGCAGCTAACCGACGCAGTCATAAAATCAAAACGTATGACCCTTGTCAAGCGACATTTATCGGTAGTAAAACCAAGACCTACGAATGCATACATATTCCCACTCAACAGGCGATCCACATGCTACTATCCTTACAAAGCCTAATCAAATGAAATATAGTGAGGAGACAAACAATACAGATCAGCGGTTAAAAAGAACGAATGAACAAACTATGCTTTCGACACTGATTCGTGATTATCAGTGTCTGGCGAGCACAGATGGAGTTTGAAAAGAGGCAAAGAAGAAACGAGGTCAGAGACAGCCACACGAAATTTGAGTATCACAACGGTGTATTGTTGCGTCCTACTCCTGTACCGGGGTAGAATGGTCCTACGAAGAAGACGGGGTCAAGTGAAGTTCTGAAAAAGAAGTCGTTGACTTTGGATCAGATTCGTAGTTAAGGTAAGCTTTGTCAGACAAAATAAACATCGAAAATGGCGAAACTTGTATTGAGGAAACATCTATTTCATTCATGCGGGTTTTAATCCAGTGAAAACAACCTAATTCGATTTTTTTTAGTTTTGGGGATAGACATCAATGCAGAGCAGAAAGGCGTATGAAACAGTGGTTACGTCTTTTGTGAATCCTGTTTCCATTGCGGTGCTAATTTCATGCTCAATTACTGGAGTTCCTCGTCCATTCTGGTAACCTTGAAACTGAGCGCGCTGGGTACCTTTTACTCCGCCGCTGTGAATTGGCTGTTAAAGAGGTTTCTAACCCATCCTTCATCGTTACGCTGAGGACGTAATTACTCTAGAAAATTGTTGCTCAAGTGGGGCTTAACTCTTTTCAGTTAAAGATTGTGAACCTGCTGAGTTGTTCAGGAAGTTTGGGTCTGATTGCCCTCATTCGTGCTTCTTGTTGTTTGCTTGTTGTGGGTATAAGTAATCGCCGGTCTTGTACATTTACACTTCTGTCTAGCAAGCTATAGGATTATTCGGTGATTAGTACGCAGCGTTTCGTCGCGAGTACCATGGCTTTAGAGTTGCTGCTCAGTGCAGACTAGCCGGCGGGCGGAATTCTCATCGACGAGCTGGTTTGGGCATTGGCGATGCTGTAGAATACGGGCGGCTTAAGTGCGGCGCTTGGTCGTTGTTTTCTTCGACAAACTTGGCACGTGTTTCGAAGACATTCCGTCGCTAGTCGAGAAGACGTGGTCACTGCACTGTTGCTTGGACCTTTTTGATTCAGACTGTTAGGATGCCATCTGCCCTTTTGTACTTGAAAAAAGATGTCACACATGGGGCCAAAAAAACGACTTCCAATGATGATTGGAACGTTAGTACAAGGTTCCACACTTCTCATCTGCAACAGATTGTCGTCCATAAGGTCCTTTATTCTGTAAAATGTCAGCCTGTGACATCATACAAAATTTGGATTGCACTAAACTAAAACACTGAGTGGTAGAAGGAGGGTCTTACTTGCTCGAGTTCTGCAGCTAAAGAACAAGAGTTTACAATGTTCTTCACGTTTTGCGTCTGAGTCTGAATCTAGTACCATCTCAAACGTTGGAAGCATATCGACTATGCACGGAATTTTGAATGAAACCTATCTCGTGAAACATGCAGAAACCAGAGTGCATCAAATCTTACCAGATAACGGAGGTATGGATACATCCAAAGGTGGCATCCCAGGAAGGGAAATGACAGCGGTAGTTGGTGGTGGAACTGCTTGTGAATCGGAAGTTGCGTATTGAGGAAACGCTTGATTCGTGGAGAATTGTGGATCCAATGGAACGGGTGGTGTGAATGCACCAATTGTGGGACCAGCATGACTGAACGCCATGCTCGCATGGGGATAGGCTGGAGTGGACATCGGCCTCGCATTAGATACGGCCTGCGCTAAATTTGCAGGCAGTGCAGCGGGTGGTGGAAGCGTGCAAGGAGGTGCATAACCAACAGAAGTGGTCAGAGGTATGGACGTTTGCACAGGAGGCATACTCGGCACAGTCAATGGTGCCTGTAATTGAAAATCACATAATGATCAGGTTGCTGAGCCTATGAAAATAGAAAAACTGGAAGTCACGGTGCAGTGAGGTGAAATAATTTTACTAGAGGGATTCTGTACGATGAGTTCACTCAACGATGATCTGTGCTAATAACTCAGTGACAAAGAACTGGAAACCCGAAACGCTAGGAAACTGACTATTGATAATGAGCAGTTCTGAAAACTTCTGCGTCTTTCTCCTTCGATGGAATCAAGGGACAGCCAAATGCTGCTAAGCATTATCCGCTCGGATAGCATTCACCCTTTTTCATCCACGTAACAGCACAGGGATAATCGATGTCATCCGGTGAAGCATAACATTCTTACACAAGCTAGTAGGGGAAACCATAGGGGTTCAGGTAACCTGAACGAAGCTAAACGGAGATCAAGCTAGACCGAAAGATCCGCGATCGAAAAGCCAGAGTTGGGCTGGAACCAGGGACCTTTAGTTGCTGGGTCATCTCGAAGCTTTATCTGGAAGTAAACGATGTAGAAATGGAGGCTACTAATCATTGCCTAACAAATCTAAAAGGAAACAGAAAAACTCAATGAGGTGCAATGTTTTTGAATGTAAAACGTACCTCAACAAACCCATTATGAGTTGTGCTAGATGTTCGGGCTTCGTAAGGTGGGGGTGCTTGGGACGGAATCGGCATATTCGTCTGGGTCATACCAACGGGCGACTCCACATTTCCAGCAGCTGAAACCACCGGTTTGAATGACTGGGCTTTCTCCTCTGGTGGAGGCGAACTCGGAAAAGCACGATTGACCGGAATACGATGGAGATAACCGTAGCCTATATCACATCCCAGGAGACCTTTTCCGCCCCAGCTCGAATTGGGACACAACCTGACCTCACGACAAGAGTCCGATTTCGTGTTATAAACATACAATCGAACTTGCTGACCTTCGGCAGATTCAATCAGATTGAAAAAGTCATCGCGCTGCAATAAAAATTGAGAACGTTGGTTAACTGAATTGATGGTATAGCGACAGTACGGGTTAGTGTGGAATACATAGAAAAAGTTAGTTAAAAATCTCTTCCCAGAGATATGGGGCGGCATCCCAAAGCCGAAACTTCTGTATACGGGTAAGTAATAAACAGTGTAGAGGAAAATGAAATTTGGTCAGATTGCGTAGTTTCACCGGACCAAACAGTAGCAAGACAAGAGCAACTGTGAAATAAGGCGAGCACAAGTCCGATTGGCGACTGAATGAGTTGCTTACTGGTCGTAATCGTCCGTAGATGCGTAATGAGTAACAGCATCAACCTACGAGACAAAGGTAAAGCTTGGTGGTTTCAGCTCAGTACAGAGGAACTGACAAAAACTCAAAGACCTGAAACCAAGCAACAGTTGAGAATTAGTTATTACAGTTATCAATAACAAAACCATAGGAAAAAGGAACCGAATGGCTAGAAAAAATGAAGAATTAGCTTACTGATGTCCCAAAAAGATGCAGACCAACTATGGAAAGCACGGAGCAGGCTTTCAACATTATCAGCAGCACCAGAACAACCAACGGACCTTATCTAGGCAATTTTCAAATCCTAGGCTTGATTCTGAATTTACTTAAACAGCTGATGAGATATGCAAAATGGTTTAATTCAACCTATCTCGTTATGACACCCCTGCTCCCCATTTATGTCAACAAAGCCATTGCCGTGTACGGAAATTTCAACAACGGTATTTTCATCGTTCTGGGATGATGGTTCGGTGAGACCGGAATCAGTAAGCAGAGTTTGCGTGCGCCGATCAATCAGCTCAACATTGCAAAATCTTTTGCAGATAAAAAGTGCACAACAAAGCACTCTATATTATCAGTTTCTAAATAGCCAAGTTATCGGTTAGCTGCCCAGTTGCGCAAACGCACGCAAAAGTCACAGAAATACTGTGGTCCGTTAGGGCCACACTAGTAGTGAGGAGAACCTGTTACGCCTTGGAATGTTCCCAAACGGTCAGTCTTGAATTAGCATCACGGACCTTCCGGACTTGCATGTAATCCAAAACTGGGGTCACATTAGTGGTCGCATATAGTTTATAGCGTACCGAAATTGTGTAGAAAAATCAGCCTCTGTCAAAATAAACAGTTGGCTTCCCCACTTGTTGATTTCGGCCGCACCAGACACTAAAGATTTTTCCATTACGGCTGCTGAAAATAGATGGCGGCAGGAAGATTGTATGGCGTTTCACCTAGAAGCAAGGTCATCAGTTACAGGATGCAAAACACATTTTACGAGAATAAAACATACCTTAGCAGTGTCTGTACTATGGCTCACTTTGTTTTATGAAGTGCTTTAATGTCATTGCACTTGCTATTTGGTGGAATATAAAAATTTTGATCGTTGATTTCGGTTTGTTTGTTCTGTCGAAGGACAGGTATCAAGCTCTTGGGCTTAATACCATCATCATCACAGATAGCGACACACGAGCAATAGATAATGGTACTTAACTAACACACCATGAAGATTCTAGGAAAGATTGCAGGGAAAAGGGGAGTGTGGGGATTAACACCAACAGTGTCGCAAGTCTCCATAAAAAACGAGGGCAAGATGTACACAATTCACAAGGATAGCCAAACAAAAGCATCTGAGCATCATGTTAGAATAGGATGCCCGCCCCCATGAACCTCTCACCGACTGTGATTGGCGGTGGATGGTGGCAAGAACCCTAAACATCAATTGGTGGGCTGCCTGCTACTCTGAATAGTCGGACGCGTCACCCAGTAATCGCTTACGGGCGTCTTTGATGGTTGAATACTGCCACAGCAAGCGCCGGACGCGCCACGATGACAACAGTGATCAAATTTTTGGGGCCATCGGATCCGAGAAGCCAGGTTTTACAAACCTCACAGCTGTGCACATTCCTTAAGTTTCGGTAAAATCCGCCTCTATAGCCAAAACGCCGTACGCTGAAAAATGTGATTGAGGGCCTGACGTGTTCATCGACGCCACCTGTTACGGTATATACATGGCTTGCAGGGCTGTCATGTAAGAAGTGACTGGACCTTACCGTAGTGTGACGGTTTGCGTACCTCCGCAAACCACTGAGCTATAGTGGAACGTATCCGTACGACAACCGCAGTCTCTCAAATCAGATCGCTCAATGGTTAAAGGTCTGAAGAACAGTCTCTTGATCCTCAAGGTTGGAGTTTGGGAAATGTATGGCAACTTGTTCTGTAGAAACTGAAATGCACCTGCATTTCTCGCCAAACACCGCTGCCTTCCAGGCAAGCTTTTGGGCCAAGGGTTTTGGTCATGGAGCCAAACTGACCTCCTGTCTGGGCGCGGACGCCCCGGCAGTGTCCCACCCCGCGTACAACCATGAATGGCACACAAAAAATAACATGCAACATCGGTCGTGTGGTGCAATCAGCTGAGTCACCTTTCTTATCGCACACAGCAGGGCGGGTAAACGGAAACAGCGTGCATGCTACAAACTCAAACTGATCAGTTACTGATGACATGCACTAACAAGTGACTACCGCTAGTTTTGGAACGTATCAGTGGATTCCAGCCACTTGCTTGTCTGAATTCTCTTCTCCCTTCGTTTTCCAGGGCCGTGTGAAGTGCGGACAAGACCTTGGAAACTGAAAACTGAGAAGCTGACAGATCCAAATGTTAGAATTTGTCAGAATCATCCTCTAAGGTCTCTCCCAACTGCTCCACCATCAGATGTGAATTTACACTAAGAAGAGATTTCCAACTCTTTGAAAAGTGCTGGTAGTTTTGACTGTGGCACGACGCCACCAGGCCCATTGGATATAACACCGAACAGTGGTATTCCTTAAACCTCGTAGACATATCCCAAGCCGTTTTGAACATAATCTGGTTCGAGGAATTATCAGACATCAAGTGAAGGTGAGTGTGCGAACAGGGTGTGAAGTCTGGTGGACACCGAAAGCCTAGAAAATGGAAGAAGTCCAGAAAGCTGGGAGTGCCCGAAAATTATTTCAGTTGATCGGTCTCCGGAAACCACATGGGAGCGAAACCATCAAGGATCAGAATGGAGTGGTCACCTTAAATAAGAGCGCTCCGGCCAATGGGCCGAATACTTCGAACAACAGTTACCGTGGCCACCAGCTGTCGCTCACCTGCAGCCCACAGCTGACGCAGAACCCTAGACGGTAATGCGGAACCCCCTATCGCCTCGGAGGTTTATGAACGAATATGTTCTACCAAGGGCCAGCGAGCTTCTGGTTCGGATGAACTCCCACCCACATTGTTCAGAGATGGTAGTGCAGTTCTCAGTCAGCCCTTGCCCGGTTAGGATTCCGGCCCGATGGGAGTTGCGTTGGCCAAACTTTTGCACTTCGTCAGGTGAAAGAACAAAGTCACACGTAAAACGACCCACAATTTTAGTATTTCTGGATTTCCACGACGCATTCGACTCGATTGACCGTTTGCCCATCAAGGGATGACCCGGAAGTTTGTAAACATAATACGTTCTTTGTATTCTCAGACTTCCGGACTGTGAGAGCATATGGAGAGCTCCGAAAGCTTCCGCACACAAAACGGTGTTCTTCAAAAGTACCCATTATCTCCATTCCTGTTTAATTTTGTGATCGATGAAATAATGAAACCAAGGCTGGAAGTTTTTCAAAATCCCAGTGTTTAAATAGTCTGACGGAAACCTTGTCGATCTGGAGTACGCAGACAACACCGGTCTCGTCTTCGAGGAGGTAGAGAAGGAGCAGATGTTCAAAGCAGATGACCAAAGCTATACTGTCCTTTGGTATGCACTTTGCACACAATACCTAATGGCACGTTCGTGAACGTCCAACTGGACTTCTAGCTCAGTTATTCTCAGAATCCGAAGGAAAACGCAGCAATAACCAACACCAACTCTTCGAGATTTAGTGCACAAAGAGTGGACAAAGAAGCAGCATGAGTCCAGTTACCTGTCGCATGCATGGCAACGCCTGCCTGAACGCAGTAACAAGTGATATCTATAAAAAGTAGCTTTCAAAGCTTCATACAAACCGCTTATAAAAGTTCATTTAATCAATGGCACAAAAGGCTTTTCGACAATACAAAACTGTTTATTTCTAGGATTCTCCCGGAAAATTCACCTGAAATTGGATCAAGTTCGCGATCCGAATCGACATGAGTAAAGGACAGAATTTCGCGACTAGTAGCTAATGGCTGTGATCAATCTGGTGGGACAACCGTTCTCCGGTAGAGGGACGCCATACAGCGCAGCTGTGTCTGCTGCATCTAATCTCAGCACTACGAAGAAACAATCACTTATTAGTACAGAGCTGAAAAATACTATCATCAAGTCACAACCAAGTCGCAACTCTGGTAAGTTGGGACGTGCTACCTGTGCACCGAGATCTCCGACCGCTAGAACAGTGCCTGAAATTCTCGGCTTGGGCAAGGAAGTGGTTCCTTCCAACTAAAATGAGTCTCAGAACCTAAGCTACGCCGGTGGGTGCACATGTAGAAACTACGGTTAATGTGGATTCTCCCGGAAGTTGACGAAAAAACTGCGGGGATAAGATCGCTTGCGAGAATACAAGCAAGTGCGATTCAGTCCAGGAGCGGAAATGCTCGCGCAACCCACTGCTACAGCTGCGGAAACCTCTGAAGTTTGTACAAGTGTCGTACCGTACTCGCACTTCATGTTTCAACGAACGCCCATTAACAAATTGTCAAGAACGAACGCTAGAGCAGGTTGACAATCCCCTCAGAGTATGACTGAGATGAGCCGACAACACATTTGTTATCATATTACGTACATACTACGTAAATCGGTCCGTACCATGTGGTAGAACTGCAGCTAGGCACCGAAAGGGTGTTGCAGCTGAAGGATTGTTATTTTATTATGAAACCACAACTCACCACAAACCTACCCAATCACATAGCTACTCTAAATCGCTGATCCAATGAGTATGGAGGGAGCGACAGTTTGCACACTCACACACCAAGCAACTAGGAGTTGTA